TTTTTTTTTTTATTGAATGGTAACTGTGTACATTGATGCACTTTGGGGGTACAGTGTGGTGTTTTCATAGAGCCAAGACTCTTGTTTGTAAAAAAAAAAACTAAATGCACATAATTGGGTTTAGGATATTGATCAGTACATACCAGGTGCTGGAAAAACATCAACAAAAGGCTTTCCCCTTAAAAAGATATGCTAGGGTGGGCACTGTAGCTCACACCTATAATCCCAGCACTTTGGGAGGTTGGGGTGGATGGGTCACCTGAGATCATAAGTTGGGTACCAGCATAAGCTAGAGCAAAGATACCTGTCTCCAAAGAAAAAAAAAATAGCTGGGCATTGTGGTGGGCACCTGTAGTCCCAGCTACTTAACAGACAGGGTCTGGCTTTTGCTTAGGCTGGTCTCTGAACTCTGAGCTCAAAACAATCTACCTGCTTCAGCCTCCCAGAGTACTAGGATTACAGGTATAAGCCACTACACCTGGCTGCATGGGGCCGTTTTAAAACTTAGGAACCTGTTCCGAAGTTCTATTTAAAAGTTTTGGACCACAGTTGACCATAGGTAAGTGAAACCTCAGAAAGCAACACTTCAGATGAAGGGGACCCAGTGTAACCATACATTCTGTCTTCTTACCTCCTCTAGATTAAAAATAGGTTCCTCCAATGCTCACCTGCACCTGACTTATCCTTCGTAGCTCTCACTGCCACTGCCTCAGTTTGACTGGTGAGCACACAGGAAATGTTGATGAAAACAGGTGATGCTGGCTGCTGGAAGGAAGTGAAGTTGACCACTCTTACAGAGTAGATGGCCAAGCCAGGAGTAAGGGGAGAGTGTCTACGGCCAGAGACTACTAGAAGCGGAGAGCTGGAGAAGACCTTGAAGAAAAGATAAAACAGCACTTGTCTACAAGAGGAGAAATCAGTTTTTATCGATATGTACCAATCCCAAACATTAAGAATTGTCAAGATTTAGTTTTCACTCCCTTAGATACGTTGAAGAATAATGAGCTGTGAGAAAATAATGGGCTTCAAAAAACTTTTTTTTTTTTTTTTTTTTTTTGAGACAGTCTCACTTTGACACTCTCTAGAGTGCTTTGACATCAGCTCACAGCAACCTCAAACTCTTGGGGTTAAGTGATTTCCTGCCTCAGCCTTCCCTGTAGCTGGGACTACAGGTGCCAGCCATAATGCCTGGCTATTTTTAGAGATGGGGCCTCACTCTTGCTCAGGGCTGGTCTCTGAACTCCTGAGCTCAGGCAATCCACCTGCCTTGGCCTCCCAGAGTGCTGGGATTACAGGTGTGAACCGTGCCTGGCCTCAAAAAACTTTTAAACCAGACTTCTGAAGATTACGTAAAAGTAGCACTGGAGTTACCTTCTATACTGATAGAGCTCATGACCTAGATTCAGACTCTGGGTACCTGCCTGGCACTGTGAAGGAGACAGGTTTAATACATTCAAATTGAGGAATTTCCTATGGTGATTTATCAAGTCAGTAACTTCACCCTTGGAAGAATGAAAAATCCCTTGTATCAAATTCATGATCTCTTCATTTTTGGTTAAATTTTTTTTTTTTTTTTTGAGACAGCCTCGAGCTATCTCCTTGGGTAGAGTTCGATAGCATCACAGCTCACAGCAACCTCCAAACTCCTAGCTTAAGTGATTCTCTTGCCTCAGCTTCCCAAGCAGCTGGGACTATAGGAGCTGAGCTGTGGTCCAATGTTTAACATACCTCTAGCTTCTCAAGAACTCTGTCCACTCCCAATATTCTTATCTCACCGATGTCTTGCTTGTGGCTAAGAACCACTTCTGATTGGTTAATGTAAAAGCCAGGAATGAAAGGAATAAGGATTCTTTGCATTCCATTCTTGCTGCGTTCACTGACCAGAGTGGCCCACCCATATACTGAGGTGTCAGCCATGCTCAGGGCCTGGAGAAGCTCCTCTGATTGTAGTCGAACCTTGATTAGGCAGACATAAATCCCTGAAAAAAAGGGGGGAAAGTGACCAGGAAGGTTCAGAGGTTCTGCTGAGCCAAGTGAATCAGGATAGGAAGGAAAAACACATGTAAATACAGCAAAAGAAAATGTGAACTATTAAGTATTGGCCTCTATGGAGAGGATACCAAAAGAAAAAAAAGCCCACTCCCAGGAAATACACAACTGAACTTGTTGCTTAAGAATATCATCCTTGGGCAGCGTCTGTGGCTCAAAGGACTAAGGCGCCGGCCCCATATGCGGGAGGTGGTGGGTTCAAGCCCAGCCCTGGCCAAAAACTGCAAAAAAAAAAAAAAATACCATCCTTACTCAGCATGGCAGGGAGTCTTACATAATA